TTACAGAAACTCACCTTCATGGATAAATTTGGCATTTTTACATTGACACATGTTGATGACTGTGCACTGTCCCATTCAAAAAACCAAATACATATATTAATAAATACATTTTCACATACATATCAGTCTAAATCTGAGTGAGCACTTATTCTTTGTCAAAGAAACTGTTGTGTGTCATATTAATGAATGTTGTGAACGTGGCTACATTTATTCCGATCTCATGAGGGTATGGAGTCTTTTGAAGTCTTTGGCCCCATGTGGGGGTCTTGGACTCAATGGGGTCAATGTTTAAATGTAAATAAAGTCTTCTTTGAAGTATTGTTCTGTTCCTTACATACAGTATGTGAAGGTTCTTCTTTTGTCGTTCAGCTAAAACCATGTTTGTTTCCACTTTGGTCAGAGGTGTTCCACTTCAACCTTCTTCTCCTTGAAACAAGTATTAATAAACAGTTTGAAAAAGAGGCTAGACGAAGCAGATGCTTATTTGGCTCCAACCCCTCTCACTCATTCAACACAATCACTCACAGACACACACATACAGTACGCGTTTGCATGACAAATGAGGACCTATGTCTGCACTGTGACATATCAGGACGTGCCTTTCTGAAGGTTCCAGAGACCTGAGGATCACATAGGGGGGAGCAGGGTGTGATCAGTAACACAGCTAGCTGTTGATCTTTTGGTTCCAAGAAACTTTTTTCCCGCATGATTTTATTGCCACATATGAGGGACCTTGACAGGTCTGAGTGACTTATAAGGTCCTACAACCAACACATCAGGCCTGAGTGACAAATAAGGACCTACAACACACACATCAGGTCTGAGTGACATATTATGACCTACAACACACACATCAGGTCTGAGTGAGATATAAGGACCTACAAAAACACATCAGGTCTGAGTGACATATTTAGACTTTTAACACACAAATCAGGTCTGAGTGAGATAATAGGACCTACAACACACACATCAGGTCTGAGTGAGATGTCAGGACCTACAACACACACATCAGGTCTGAGTGAGATATCAGGACCTATAACACACACATCAGGTGTGAGTGAGATATTAGGACCTACAACACACACATCAGGTCTGAGTGAGATATCAGGACCTACAACACACACATCAGGTCTGAGTGAGATATCAGGACCTATAACACACATATCAGGTGTGAGTGAGATATTAGGACCTACAACACACATCAGGTCTGAGTGAGATATTAGCACCTACAGTATAACATATGGGTGTCATTTTTGACACCTCACTTTTATATTTGTTTTTGATGTTTTAAATCCTAATTTAAACATGATTTTCCTACTGGACTTAAGAACATTTTTCAGGGAAAAAATCTACTCACACAAGGAGAATATGCAAGCTTTTATTGTATTTATTTATTTTTACAAACACTCACTCACTACTCAAGTATCTTTTTAAAATAGCTTGAGTCAATATTTTGGCTATTCTTCCCACCTCTGGGGATGTATTTAAGTTTGTGACAAAATAGCATAGAGCAGGGGTCGGCAACTCAAAAAGTTCAAAGAGCCATATTTGAGCAAAAATAAAAAAAACAAATCTGTCTGGAGCCGCATAAACTTTACTGCCTTTTTTAAGGTTTATATGAAAGCAACACAGGCTGTAAGCTGTATTAGCCTACTATCAAAATGAGTAAGTATAGGCTACAAATACATAATATGCATTCATGATTATTATATATATATATACATTTTCACTGTAGTGCAAGAGAGTGACGCACCATGTGACTACTCTGCTATACCATATATGCTTTAAGTTTAACTTTCCTTTTGTTGCGTTCATGCAATTTTAGAAATACAGTAAATACATCCGTTTTTGGCTCAGTTCTCATACCTGCATACCTGCAGGCTGGAGTTTGCTGGAGCTGAATGTCCCGAACGGTGTTTCGCACTTTTTTGTTCCTCGTGTTGCAACAAAATTCAGGCGTAGAAGTTTGGAGATGAATCCTCCAGAATAACTGCGATCGCACTGTTTCTCTCCAAACTGGGGTCAGCAGCCGATTTTCCACATGACTCTTTTTGTTCTTCAATATATTCTCATTACAAAGCAAACATGAAGCAGTCCTTCCTCATTGACTCAATGAGAGCCAAATGTTACAGTCCATTTGTCCTTGAGTTCCTGGTTCTTATCAAGTATTTCCCTTTTTAGCTTTGGGATTTATGCGGACTCATGTGGCACATGCTGGTTTGTTTACAACAGCGGCCGCCCGGCGCGGGGCCGCGTAACCGCGCGTCGCAGGATATGACGCACATCTCAGTTGACACAAATGTTAAAATGAAATATTTCTTATGCACATTTTTACTGCATTGGAAAACATTAAGAATGTTGTCCTTCCTACAGAAACCACATTGAAACTATAAATAAAATATACCCTTCCCACTCCATTTTCAGACATTTTTGAAAAGGCTCCAGGAGCCACTCAAGGGGCACTAAAGAGCCGCATGCGGCTCCGGAGCCGCGGGTTGCCGACCCCTGGCATAGAGGGTTAACACACTTGTCCTTATATGTCATGAGGACAAGTGTGTTAACCCTCTATGCACATGGGTCATTTTGGGGAACTTTCCTCGCCTGGTTTTCTTTGTGTATACAGTAATTGTTCATAAAACAGTCTTCTTTTGATGCAGAGTCAAGCAGTATACTTTGTTTTTTTCAGTACAACCTGGGGTTTTAGAATATTCATATTGTAAAGCTGTCATATGAATTATATAAAAATTATGGAATCATGAAGACAAAGAAAAAAATCAAACGGAAAATCAATTTAACAAAAATGTATTGAAAAAACACAATGAAATGCTATAAACAACTTTTTACACTGCATAGAAATGTTATTTAGAAACTTGGGGATAATGGGGAAAAAAATGAATCTCTAACTATTATACTTTTTACAAAATTAAACTATAAAAGCAACAAACTCTGTACTCCTGATGCCCTTCCTGAAGCAGTTTGTCTATAATGCTGGGGTTGCTTCTGTAGCACAGCTGTAAAAAACGTAAAACATAAGAAACTGAGCCAAAAAAAAAAAAAAACATCAATTATTAATGTAATAAATATATTTATATACATCATATACACATAATGTCATTTTACTGTATTTATTATTGTCTTTATCAATAATGCGCACTCTTCAGCCGGTTATTGCAATCGCAGCTGTAGTTTCAACTGTGGGAGAACAAGTAAACGCAGAGGAGTGAGACATCTCACTCTCTGACGATCTTTGGCAGTCCCCGTGTGTTTGTATCTCACAGCTGTTTGTACCTCACGGGTCACGCTTTGGACACGGACTTTCAGACAAGCGTAGTTTATCCTCCGTGCTTCGCACAGACAAATCAAAACTAGTTTCGGAAAGCCCTGAATATGTACTTCACAGAGGGAAAAGTAAGTTGCCACGTTTTACCGTTCGCGAGTAAATTGATCATTTGTAAAACATGTGTGCATGCATCGTCGCCGAAGCAGACGGGTTCATAGGGTTAAGGTAGTTCCGTGCACGACCAGAGGGGCGCTTCAAATTATTTGGGAGGGAGGGTTTTGGCCAAGACACACATTTTCACTATTTGTAGACATTTTGGGACATGATTGAATTTTGGTGTGGAGCTTCATCTGGGCCTCTACAACACTGTAGTATGCATCAAAAACTGGGGACCTGAAAAAAGTCCCCATATTTCCTCAGGTTCTCATATTGAAGGTGTGTTATCATACACAAGTCCTCATATGTCCACAAAAAAATGCATACGCAAGCGCTCGCACACACACACACACGCTAGCACACGCAGACACACTGTTACGGCGCTTGGCATTACGATATTGGTCGCGGTCTTTTTAGCTAACATGGCTCTTTCGTCCTGTGGCAAAATGGCAGCAACTCAAAAGATTGAGCCAAAAGGAGTCTTCTTCTTTTTCTAATAGTTAGATTGCGCCAAAATGCGCCAAAATGGCTATGAGGCGGATTCAATATTTGTTGTATTTTTTTTCTCATCAAAGAACGTTTTTGCCATGCCTCCACACTCTGACAACATTCTCTTCTCCTCCAAACAATCTGGCAACATACGCTCCTTCTCCTCCTCCTGCTCCACACACTCTGACCACAACCTATACGCTCCTCCTCCTCCACACACTGACAACATACGCTCCTCCTCCTCCTCTCCACACACTCTGACCACAACAAGGGGTTTTATGCCCAAAATCCACTGCACTCACAGTGGACGCTAAAGCTGAGCATACAGTGTTTGCTAATGCTTTTATAATACGTTTCTGATGTGGATATTCGGACTCAACATTGACAATAACAGCGCTCACACACCTGTCTTGCTGCTCCTCCTCTTCCTCCTCTCCTCCTCACACAGAAGACGCAAGTATCCATCTCTCCGTTCACTGGGCTCATTCCTGTTACTTTCTTCGTTCCTCACTCAGACCCAGACACTGCTAAAGTTATCTGACAGCTCCGTAAAGTTTGTTTTTGGGGACCCGCAGCGTACATAGCTGCCCTCGCGCCTGCCTGTTTACAAATCGCTTTTGGTGAAAATGTGACTTTACTTGTATAATAATGTACTTTTGATCAAAAGAAATCACAGAGGTCCAGAAAAAGGGGTTTAGGGGTCCGAACTTTGAGCGCAGTCCGCCCTTTGGGGACCCTTGAACTAGTGTATTTATGAAAAAATAAAAAGGAAGGAAGATTGCGAGGCCCTGTGCGTCGGCACAGGTCGCACAGCCCCTCCGACGGGCCTGCACCCGGCATCTTTACGGGAAGATGTATGTCGTTTAATGCTACTGAATGAAAAAGTGTTTGGGTTGTATTCTTTTCCTCAACTATATCCTTAATATAAAAGGCCTCTCTGAGGTGATTTTCACGTCTGGCCGGAGGGATGTTAATGTGCAGAGAACTTGAGTTTACATCTACAAAGCTAGTTTTGTCTTTACCCAGTATGATTGCTACTTTACTCAAGCTCCAATAGAAACTTTAGAACACTGTCCTAAAGGCCCACAGTGGAGGCATCCACTTGGACAAGAAAGCGCATGTTAAAGTCTGGACTCTTCAGCACAGGAGACGAACACAGGTGAGCTTTAAGGGTGGTAAAAGCCTTCTCACAGGGCTCGGTCCAGACAACCGGATTTCGCTGGTTCTTGGCCGTGAGTGCGGTGAGGGGAGCAGCGATGGTTGCGAATTGTGGCACAAACCTCCTGTACCATCCTGCCAACCCAAGGAAGGACCGGACTTCCTTCTTGGTGTGTGGCCAAGGAGACTGCAGGACCGCTTTGACCTTGTCCACTTGGGGCCTTACTTCTCCTTGACCCATCTGGTAGCCAAGGTACCGAGTCTCCTGCCGAGCCCACTCACATTTATCTGGATTGAGTGTCAGCCCAGCTTGCTCAATTTCGTTCAACAGGTCCATGAGAACTGGTGAATTCCAACCCGAGAATAGATCCACTGTTAAGTTTTCAAACACACCCACACTCACAAGATAGGGCTGGTCTAAGGCAGTCACAGTCACATCCACAGTAGGATAGGGTTGGCTATCCCCATGCACGCACTGAATATCCACAGTCTGGCTATAGTCCGTGCCGCTAACTGGAACTGAGCTACGTTTGATCAACGACATAAAGCTGCCAGTGTCAAGCAATGCTGTAATCGCTTTGCCATTGATCAGTACAGTTTTATAACGTTGCACAGTACCTTCAGCTTTCATAGAGCTCACGGATTCTGGTCTTGGTGGATAACATGCCCCACTAAATTTTGCTTTGTGCACAGGGCACACGGATGCTTTGTGTCCTGGCTGCTGACAGTAAAAAACAATCAAGATCCTTACCAGGTCCTCGTTGGTTTGGGGCAGAGCTGGTGGTACCTTGCCGATCTGGGTAGCTGTCCTGCCGGGGTGGTCTGGGGAGAAGCGGCTGAGCTGGCCTGCGCTGAGCTGTAGTGCCGGTCCGGGCAGGTCCTCCTTTGAGCGCGTTGAGGTACTGCACGGCCAACTTTGCAGCGGTGAGTCCATCGCCGGGCTCGCGTTCCTTCACCCAGGTCCGGACCTCGAAGGGGAAAACCCGCAGCAGCTGCTCCATGATGATTGCCTCGCCGACCTCCTTCTTGGTCCGCTCCTCGGGCCGTATCCAGCGACAATAGAGACCTCTGAGACGATGATAGGTCTCCGTGGGGCTCTCTCCAGATGGCTGAGTGGAAGAAAAAAACTGCTGGCAGTAGGTCTCGGGTGAAATATCAAATTTCGCCAACAGGGCCTCCTTTAAGTCCCCGTAGCAGTGGGCTCTTTCCTCGTCCATGGCCGAGTACGCCTCCACCGCCTTGCCGCTTAACAGAGGGACGAGTCGACATGCCCATTCATCTTCTGGCCATTTCCAGGTTTTTGCTATCCGTTCAAAACGCAACAGTCGGTTTTCAGGGTTTAGAGCTTGGTGCCTTTGCTCCTCGCCCCCATCACTCTCATCACCTCCCAGATGAATCCCCGCGTACTGCGTCCGCTGGCCAGCAGGGGTTGGTATGCCTGTCGGACAGTGACAATGAAGCCTGAGACTGGGAGCGTGAAATGGGTAAGTGTGGAACCGGCCGATCTCTGGACAGTGGCGGTGGAGAAGACGGAGGAATAGACTGAGCATTCCCCAGCCTCCGGAGTTCTACCAGCAACCCTTCTTCCCGGCGTTGCTGTCCAGCCAGAAACTCCCTCATTAACATCACCATATCCTGTCCAGGCTCCGAGAAGTGCACGGGTTTGACTTCCGGTTTCTCTTCCTCATCCTCAGTTTCCCATGCTGCTCCAGCGCCCCCTGGCGGTTGCACATGGCTCTGAGACCGCAAACCTGTGCGCTTGGGTAGACGAACACTTTTCTTCCGGCTTGCCATCCCACCACTGCCACCATCGGGCGGCACGGTGGCTGAGTGGATAGCACTCTCGCCTCTCAGCAAGAAGGTCCTGGGTTCGAATCCCGGTCGGACCAGGGCCTTTCTGAGTGGAGTTTGCATGTTCTCCCCGTGTCTGCGTAGGTTTCCTCCGGGTACTCCGGTTTCCCCTACCACTAAAAATATGTACAATAGGTCTGGCATGCGCCTCCTGTTCGGCGACCCCGCTCCCATCTCTGTGTGGAGTGAGAGGACAAATGCCCAAAAAAAATAATAACAATTGTAAACCGCTTTGTGACCCTTGTCTGTGAAAGGCGGTATATAAATAAACATTACTTACTTACTTACTTACCATCTGTCGTGGGTTACTTCAGAAAAAATATAGACGAGCTCGGATTGCCGTGATTATTCGTGTTTTTATTTTCCCCAAAGTGCATAAAAATTGGTGCAGGCAGTGCAGAGCATATGTACGGTGAATTTAGCATAAAAAAATCAACAGGTCCACTCGGACACATAGGTCACCTTTAATTAGTCCAGGTAGTTACCTCCTCTGTAACCAGCGGCAGACTGACGGGTGCCAGACACGGCTCTCCTTTATAGTCCCCTTTGCCCCTCCCATTGAGCAAAATAAATTATTACAAATGAGACGTATAAACAGAGAATACATATATGGACCCATTCCCTATTGGTCCAACACATAAAACTATACTCTACAATGAAACATTAGGCCATTATGAGTAAATTTAATCTTGAGGACAATTCCCCACGCTCCCAGGGCGCATTTAACCCACCAGGAAGTATGGTCCTGGTTTGATCCTCGCGCACAGATGCAGAGGAGCGCGACAGACTGGTACGTGTATGAATGTATGCTTAAATGTATTTCTAGCCCGCACAAGTGTGCACCCCTGGGCGAACTAGTAACTGAGGGAAGAGAGGGACAAGAGTATGGATGATGCGTGTGGATGTTAAGCATTAATGGAACAGAGGGAAAAAGGGGTGCGCGCGTTTGGAATGGCGTGTGTGTGTGTGTGTGTGCGTGCAGGTGCGCGTGTGGCGCATGCGGCACTAAAGTCAGCCTTTACTTTAAAACTCAGTCCGCGCACGTAACTACAGACGGACCCGCTCCGTCACAAACACTAATGATCAACTTGTTTGATCTGGCCCACGATTTTATTCCAAAATTCTGAGGATCAAAAGAATAAATCAAAATGATCTGTGTTTGGGATGGATATGTATCTGCTTCAATATATTTATTTATCCATCCATCCATCCTTCCATCTATGGACTCGGACACTTCCTGAGGCTGCATAATCCAGCTCTGTGGTTTTACTTCGTACCAGTTATGTATGAAGTTACAAGACAAAACACACTTACATCAATGGAAACAGCTGCACTTCATACAAAAATGAATGCATTTTATTATCAGTATAGTCTTTGGATGACACACTTTAATATAATATCACTTTAACGCAAAGCAAAACAATGTGTAATACAGGTTGGCCCATGACATGCAAAAAAATAAAAAAGACTTCTCCACCTGAACATTGCTTATTCAGTGAAATACATCCATTTGTTTCAAAAGATGCATTTCATTATTTTCTATTAGACTTTTCTTGAACATGACATTGAATCACCATGGCAACAGAACATGGCGACGTCATTCTGTTTGTCGCAGCGGAACATTCTATCACCACAGCAACCAACACCATGTCATCGTAACCACGGCTCTGAAAAGTTCATGTGCGCGAAGAAAGACAAGACAAGTGACTTAAACAAACCTGAGGGAAATCGAGGATCAAAGCCCAGATTGACAAAGCAAAGCAATCGATACAACACTGACAAGATGTGGTGTTTTAGAAGAAGTAAAAAGGAGCTTTACAAAGCCATGGTGGACAATTTGGTTCTTGCGGAGGAATCAAACCAGGCTTTGTTGGCTGAGGTCAAGCAACTGAAGGAGGAGAAGAGTAACCTGGTCAAGGCTCAAGAAGAGGAAACAAAGAGACTGAAGGAGGAGAAGAGTGACCTGGTCAAGTTTCAAGCAGAAGAAACATGCAGACTGAAGGAGCAGGTGACACAGCTGCAAATGGAGAAGTCTGCTCTAGAGAAGGACTTTTTGGAATCCACCGTTTTCAACCGGCATCAACTTGACACCACCCTCCAGGAGAAAACCAGCCTTGAACTCTCGCTGCAACAAACCACCGCAGAGCTGCAGACTGTACAGCAGACTCAGAGGACTTTGGAGAAGCATGCTGAAGAGGACAGGCGAAGGAAGGACTCCATCATTAAAGGTATGGACACACATCTCTCAAAAGTGGACGATGAAAACATGAAAACATTAGAAGTAATGAACTTTTGTCTTCTAGATGCTGAACATTATATTAAGGAGCTGGAGACCAAAATGCAGGACCAGGAGATGCACCTGAAGAAAGGTAATTATGAGCTGGAGGAAAAATTGCTCAGTCTTCTGAAAGAGATGGAGGCGTTTAGAGAGAAGTTTGTCCTGAAAAACTCTGTTTTTGCAGAAATGGAGGAGGAGATGAGCAAATTCATAGCTCAGAAGGCCGAAAAAGAAAAGCTGAAGGAGCAGGTGACACAGCTGCAAACACAGAAATCTGCTCTGGAGAAGGACTGTTTGCATTCCACCACTTACATCCAGAACCAACTCAAAACCACCGTCCAGGAGAAAACCAGCCTTCAACTTTCTCTGCAAAAAACCACCGCAGAGTTGCATACGACAAAGGGTGAGGTGCGGGACCTAAAAGAGGCTTGTGCCAGGCGTGAGGACAGGAACAAGGAGGTCACCAACTTCTCCAAGATCCTGAAGGAGGAGAACAAGGGCTTGTCCGAAGCAATGGAGTCCGTAAAGCAGACTCTGAAGGAGGAGAAACAAGCCTTGTCCACAGAACTGCAGTCCGTAAAAACGACTCTGAGGACTGTGGAGAAGTGTGCTGAAGATGACGGGCAACGGAAGGACTCCATCCTGAACGGTATGGACACAGATCTCTAAAACGTTGAAGAAGAAAACATCAACACATGTGAAGTAATGAACTTTTGTCTTCTAGATGCTGGCCTTTATATTGATGAGCTGAGGACCAAAATGCAGGACCAGGAGATGCACCTGAGGAAAGGTAATTATGAGCTGGAGGAAAGAACTGTTGGAGCTGGAGGAGTTAAGAGAGAACTTTGTCCTGAGCAACTTTGTTTTTGCAGAAATGGAAGAGCGGGTGAGCAAATTCCAAGAGATAATGAAAGAGGCCGTCGAAGAGAACCTACGCCTGAAATATGAACTGAACTTTCTGAAGAAGAATCCGTCGAAGCAGCAGAACCAGGACACTCAGGAGGGCCTCGCTCCACCATATCCTCAGCAGATGCAGAGACGCAGTTGTCAAAAGACAGACGTCTACAGACGGGTCTGGTATGATCCCAAGAACTAAGACTAAGTTCTGAATGAACTACCCCCCCCCCCCCCCCCCTCCCCCTAAACCTTCCCTCGACCCTTTTCACAACAAAGGCACATTGGATCCTGACTCACATCCCTCACAGAGTCACAGTGACTGGAGTTAAACCTCCACATGCTCCAAGTATTTAATACTCATAAATATTGTGTCCGTTTGGTCATGAAGCTAACAGCTAGTGCTCGCTGCCTCTGATGGCAAAGAGTAATGTCAGTGATTAGAGACCGCTGTAAGACCAGGCGCCACAGTGGGACAACTGCGGCTGTAAAGTGCCACACTGTCGTTGTGTTCTTTAGCAAGACACTTCACCCACAAGTATGAATGGGTGTGTGTGTATGTGGTGGTTAGAGGGGCCAACTCAGGTTGGCAGCCTCCGTAGTCTGTCCCAGGGCAGCTATGGCTACAGTAGTAGCTGACCGTATCACCATGAATGGTATGAATTAATTGCGGTTTTGTTTTGATGATAATAATACTTGACAGCGTTAATGCAATACGTTGTATCTGTTTCACCCTGACCCCTCTGGCGCCATCTAGAGGATCAAATGTATAAACTGAAAGATCTTAGGTTTAAACTCAGAAGACTCCAGAGCTGACGACCTGTGCTCATGAAGGAACCAGTGTGTGCAGTGTCCAAATGTGAAAAGGGTCCCCCCCCCCCCCCGCAACAAAAAAAGTAATACAAAATATATATAAATAAACAATTGTAACTGTGTTACATAGCTGAACCAACAAGTTCATTTTTTCAATTAAATTACGGGTTTTAATAAAGCTCAGAAAATACTGTCTACTACAGAAAGACAGAATGTGAATAACTGTAATAAAGAAATACAGTATGTACACTAACCTTACACAGACTCACCACCTCTTAAAACCCGCCTCATTTTGGCTCGTGCACAAAAGTTGGCCATACTCAAATGTCTTTGCTTATTTAAAAACACATCTTACATCTCACATGCTTGTGTGATGCATCATTTTAAAGCTAGAGCCTTCTAGTTTATGTAAAAAACACAAAAATAATGTTTGTCATTCCTATTTCCCTCTGCATCCTTTGAAGTTTGGGAAAAAAACCCAATTTTTTTAGCCTCGCCTAACATTTTCCATTTCTAAAGGTCCTAAAAAAGGCATACTTCATTGTAAGTTCACAATATTCAAACCCTGTGGTCATTGTGTTGTTGACAACAACTGTCTAAAGTTTCAGACTTCTAAGTTTTATAGTTTTTATGCAGTTTCTCCTTTTCATCAAGAAGTGCACATTTGGCACACTTTGGCACAATTGTGCCAAATATCTTTATTGACATTTAATCATCATAAAAACAATATTTTTTATTATTGGTACTTATAAGTTACTAATCTATTTAATGTCAAAGTTATTTTTTTATGAGTGTAAATTCATTGCAGCTTCGAGAGCGTCTTTTGGCTGCCATTACGCAGAATTCTACAGGCACAACATAAGACAGGACACCATTGTCCCACGCCTTGCTCGAAAGCTTTCCTCATTGGCTACACGGACATGTCAATCAAACATCCCGGAAGTAAATGTAAACAAGT